GTGTTACTGAGGCTGGTCTTGAACTCCTGGTTTCAAGTGATCCTCCCGCCTTGGCCTCCCAAAGTGCTGGGATTACAGGCATGAGCCACCACATCTGACCTCAGAGAGGGCTGATTTTTGAATCAGCCATTCTAAAACAGTGGACCTAGAAAGAAGAAATCTTCTACCAGTAGCCTTCTTTCTAGATACCAATCCAACAAGCCAGAAGAAATTTGGGGTCTCATAATCTGATACCAGTATTTTCTCCTCAGTAGTGAAAAGAGTTGAATTAATGCATTCACTCTAAGCTTGTTTTTGGGGAATGATGAGGTAATAGTTAAAGAGAGTAGACAAAGGTTAAAGTAATAAGAAATGCTGAACTTCCAAAAAAGCTGGCCTTAATATTCTCCATCAACTGGCAGTGTTCCCAGTGATGCTTCTATCACAGACTGTGATAGAACTGGCATACATAATAATCATTTCTTCTTCAATAATATAGTAAGACATCACATCCATATATTTCCCAAATAGGACTGCCACTGCCTATCTAGTTAAGGAGTTATCATTCTACTGTTTCTCTTGAGAAATGACACTAAGGCAAAACACTTTTGTTTTTAAGGGGTTCTATTGGCCACTTAAAATACCCTTGATATATGACCAGAAGTCATTGAATTAACTAAAAACAAATAGTTGTGAATTACATAGAGGGCTTCTCTCAGCCACATGCTTCTCATAGATAATGTAATAAAGATCATTGATAAATAATAAAAAGTTGCATTTCTCACATGGGAGAGGTCCCATAATACAGCTCATTCGAACGCTGAGGGAGTGGTGCCCTCTAGCAGTGCATGTGAGAAATATTATCATATAAGTATATTAAATATAGCAAATAAGGATCTCCCACTATCTCTGCTACTCTCAGACATAAGGGGTAATTTGACAGTTGGTTTTGTCTTTTCCGAGCTACTAGAAACCTACTGAAGTTTCACTTCCATGTGCACTAATTTTTTAAGTGCCAGCAAAGGTTAGATTCTAATAGTGCCCTTTTGGGGACTTTACCAATAACTTTTAAAATGTCATTATCTGTGAATGTCACATAAAACAGGTCCCTTTCTCTTTTCTTTCAGACCTGCCTTAGATCAGTGTTTGGGGATGAGAATAAAGGGTACAAATAGGGAAAAATATCATCCTACAAGCTGAACAGCATATCAGGTGCAAAAGATGGTCACAAAATGGGAGAATGTTAAGAAATCGATTAATGGCTCAAGTATTCAAAAACTGATGAAGTTCTGACTCTTTTCCCTTAAAAGCACTGCAGTTTATGGTTACAACTGATAGATTTGCAGGGTTCGATAGCTTCAGAAGCTAATTAAGTAAACTGAGTAAACAAAAGAAAAGAACTTGATTTTTTTTTTTTTCTTTTTTTTTTTTTTTTAAAGTGGAGTCTAGCTCTGTCCCACAGGCTGGAGCACAGTGGCACGATCTTGGCTCACTGCAACCTCCGCCTCCCAGGTTCAAGTGATTCTCATGCCTCAGCCTCCCCATTAGCTGGGATTACAGACGTACAACACCACGCCCGGCTAATTTTTGTATTTTTAGTAGAGACGGGGTTTTTTTTGTTTTGTTTTGTTTTTGTTTTGTTTTTTTTGTTTTGTTTTTTTTTGAGAGGGGGGACGGAGTCTCGCTCTGTCACCCAGACTGGAGTGCAGAGGCGCAATCTCGGCTCACTGCAAGCTCCGCCTCCTGGGTTCACGCCATTCTCCTGCCACAGCCTCCCGAGTAGCTGGGACTACTGGCGCCCGCCAGCACACCCGGCTAATTTTTTGTATTTTTAGTAGAGACGGGGTTTCACCGTGTTAGCCAGGGTGGTCTCGATCTTCTGACCTCGTGATCCTCCCGCCTCGGCCTCCCAAAGTGCTGGGATTACAGGCGTGAGCCACTGCGCCCGGCCTGAGACAGGGTTTCGCCATGTTGCCAGGCTGGTCTCGAACTCCTGACCTCGTGATCTGCCCACGTCACCCTCCCAAAGTGCTGGGATTACAGACATGAGCCAACCTGCCCGGCCTTGAATTTTTAATTCCATTTTAATTAGTGAAAGAAGTTTGAGCCAGTCTTATCTCTAAGATATTCAGAAGATTATATGGCACACAAATAGTACATTACAAATGCTTTTGAAACTGAAAGGTGTGTTTTCTGGTTTCTGTCTATCTGATATGCTGTTTCAAATCCTGTAAAAGCAAAATATAGTTTTTTGACAAATATGCCCATGTGTTGTGCACAGTTTGATTTATGTAATCTCATTTCAAATGCAACTGCAGAATTCCTCCTGAATGGATGAAAAATGTCTGCCTAAAGTGATAAAAATATATGTGTGTAGAAAGATATAGTTTTAAGAAGGGATTTTTATGAGATACAGATTTGTAACTCAATTTCCTTTAAATATTCCTTTAAAATATTCTTAAAAAAAAAAAAAAAAACTTCAAGAATACCTGACTGTTTTTTTGTTTGTTTGTTTGTTTGTTTGTTTTTTACATTTTTGTGTCAGTTCAGGGGTTTGCATTGAGTTTGCTCTGCTGAAACACTTTTCTGTAACTTAGCTTATGTGGGATTGGTAAGTAGGGGAGTGATGTCAGTGTAACATAGACCCTGGATTTGTTCAGGTATTTTACTAAGTAGCAGCAACGAAACACAAAGCCCACAAACACAGATTAACACAGCTAGCCAAGGGAAAATACCTACTGCACGTGATTCCCATTCATGCCACATTCTTCCTCTTGGCACAGTGTGGCCACGTACTCTTACATGGCAGTGCTTATTGCGTAATTCTCAGTCTTTCTATTTGCACTTATTCCATAGCTTAGCAATCTCAACTCTTCTTTCTTCCATCAAGCCACCTTCTCATGCATGTGCACACACACATAGACACACTGCATTTTTTTGTAGTAGTTATTATGAATTTAACTTATCTTTTAAATCATGTTTATATTTAATTATGCTTGATAATTACTAGGATGGTTATTGTTTTTGCAGTGTTCTCGTTACATAAATATTGAGTAGGTATGTCCTGACCCTGTCTTTTTCATAAACCCTACAATTTTTATTACATGATTTTGCAGACCACACAAGAAATACATTTATCTTATTGCAGCAAAAACATTTGTACATCTGTACTTGCCCTCTACTTATTAATTGCAATTATTATCTTTGAATTACTCCCAGAATTATAGACTTCCCTCATAAATCTGAGGTAAACAGATTGAGATATCAATTGCCTACAAGATTCATTTTTAAAATTTTACCTTCCCGTGAGAATACCAGCCCCAGGTGTACATTGCATGGCCCCGTTAAAAAGTAACCTTTCCATCTTTATTTGTTTCTGGGCAGTTACCGAAAGTATTTCCACAACAAAAGAATGTAATCAAGATTTAATTTGCTTCCACTGAAGTTTATTTTCATTTTTAAAAATCATTAGCCTATGATTTAGGAATTTTTAAGAAATTGGCCCTCATTACCCCCCAAGCCCCCGCATTCACCTAACACACGCTCCCAGTCCTCCTTTAAGTAATTTGTGGTTTATATTTAAATTTTACATTCAACATGGTCTTAAGTATTAAATTCCACCAGGTGAGACTGCAGTGAGTCAGGGTTTTAAAATATGGTAAGATTCCAAGAAATGAATCCTTCCATTCTAAAATCTCTTCTTGCACATTAATTCAATTAACTCAGAAGAAAATAGATATTTTCCAGGAAAAAATGTCTTTTATTTTACTTTTGTGAGAATACAAATATGTGTCTTTTGTTTTAGGAAAGAAATAATTCTCTAATAGTATTTCCATATAACTATGTTACTGGTGTTAGCATGAGTGAATTTTTTAGAACACTAGTGGTAAGCATATAATAGAGCTTTCTCAATACCTACACTCCAAAAGCAAGTCACAGCTTCTCCTAAATGAGCCAAGTACTTGCAGTGAAAAGCTAAACAAAGCCTTGTTTTTAAGGAGAAGCTTACAGAGGGTGACAATATAGAGAGTTCAGCATGTTCTCTAATGAAGATATATATGAACAGAGTACCATGGGACAAAGCAGAGGTGGTGACCATATCAGAGAGGGAATGCTTTAACCTACACAATTAAAAAAATATATTCTTATGGAGTTCCTAATTTTGTTTCTTTCTCTTTCAATTTTCTGAAATTTTAAAATGTTTATTCACTTGAACATACAATAATTTTCTTTAAAAGAATCCCTCCACAGGGAGATGAGAATATTCTGTGTCTTGATCTTAATGGTGGTGTATATCAGATTCATCAAACTGTACACACACAAATGGTACACTGTACCAAATACAAATTATACCTCAAAGTTTAATAAATCCATCAAAACATACAGTGTTCCATACTTTAAAAAAATTAGCTTCCTTCCTTTGATGATCAAGGTGGCAATAAGTGTATTAGAGAAAGAAAAAGATGTCAGGCGCTGTGGCTCATGCCTGTAATCCCAGCACTTTGGGAGGCCAAGGCAGGCGGATCATGAGGTCAAGAGATCAAGACCATCCTGGCCAACATAGTGAAAGCCCATCTCTACTAAAATACAAAAATTAGCTGGGCATGGTGGTGCGTGCGTGTAGTCCCAGCTACTCGGGAGGTTGAGGCAGGGAGAATCCACTTGAACCCAGATTCGTTCGGGGCTTGCAGTGAGGCACCTCGATCGCCCACGCTGCAGCGCAGTAGCTTGGACGCTATGGCCGCAGCCAACGCCGCCAGAATCCCATACTGTGAACACACAGAAGTAAAAAAAAATGTGGAAATAGCGATGGACAGAAGAGAGGAGTACAAGAAAACAAGGGAGGAGCGAACGACAGAGAGAAAGGAAAGAAGATAGAGAAGGAAGGAAGGAAAGGACGCGGAAGTGAAGGAAGAAGGGAGGGAAGGGAAGGGGGAGGGGGGGAGGGTAGGGAAGGAGAGAAAGGAATTATCTCATGGAAGGCTGTCTTGCATAATAATTATTTTTTCACTGTCTTTCAGCTGTAGGTCCAGATTTTTCAAGAACACTCCTGAAAAGAATCACTCTTGTCAAAGTGGGAGGTGAAGTTGTCATTGAGTGTAAGCCAAAAGCATCTCCAAAACCTGTTTACACCTGGAAGAAAGGAAGGGACATATTAAAAGAAAATGAAAGGTACTGTCTTGAATTATTTTCAATATTTGGTTAACCTGTAATAATTTGTTGGTCTGTTATTAATAATTCTAAGGGGAAAGTGGGGTGACTATCTGCTATTCCTGGACTAAGTGTTAAAAAAAGAACAGAAGCTTTGGAAGGATGAGTGGTACGTTATTGATCTTTATAGTCCTTCTGGATTTGGGAATTCTACAAAGCACTCCCTGCAGAGATAGATCACATGATCCCTGCCAAAGGCTGTCAGAGCTGCCTGAAGATGAACAGTTAGAAACATCCTCCTTAATTTTAGCCTGAAATTTTTGTCCCCACCTTTCCCCATCCTAAGTCCTTTGGCATATGTAAATAAGCCCAGGTCTTAATTGCTATGACAACCCTTCAATTATATGGCAGTGGCTATTATGTCTCCTGTTAGTTTCTCCTTTTTTGAGGCTATCTCCAATTTCAAAACTCATTCTTCATGCAGCAGATTATTATGCTTGATTTTTATTTCAGTTACATCTTTTTGAGACAACAGGTTCTTTTTCTTTCTAATATCTAAACTCTTCGTCTGTATATTTCTTATACATGAATTACATTTAGAATGCATGTAGTGTATACAATGCAAATATATAGGAGTTATTTGAGGTTTTCATTAGCTTGCATGAAATGGCAGGTGTTTCTAAGACCTTTTCTTGGCTGTCACCCCTGTAAAATATCCCCTACCTTTTTCTGTAATCTACTTAATCTGTTGCAAAATGGTAATTATGCATGGATCTGTTTGTCACCTATAAGACAGGATTTGCCAGCTGTATATATAATGATTTTAATTAATGCTAAAGGTCAAGTACTCAAGGATGCAAGAAGGAAACCTATAAAAATGTGTGTGTATCTACCCTTTACACCTGTACACCTTTGGATTTGCATATACAAATTAGATCTGATGATGACAGTGTTGTCCATTTCAACGGTTTTTGTAAACAAACCTGGTATGGTTTATAAATGGTGTATTCATACATATATTATTTTTTAATGCTTGCTATGGACTAGGGAGTAACACATGTATTAAATTCATAGTATGCATCCCCTTCTGATTTCTAGTATATCAAGAAAGCAGTGTAGTTCATTGAATGTTGACATGGCATTCAAATTTGTAGCCAACCTGAAAATCGATAGCATAATTGCTTATTTTGCAGTCTTCAACTTGAGATTCATTTTCTATTTTATTTAATTCAGTGTTCCTTAAAATGTGGCACATGAGATTACTTTTAATAGTTATGTACTTACTTTTAATATAATTGAAATATAACTAGTATGTACCACATGTATTTCTCAGAATAAGGCTACACTTTAAAAGTTTTAATTTTAAAATGACATTAAGACAATAATAATATGAGTATTAGACATGTCAAAAATCATGAAGGAATAAAGTTATAATAACGTTGTAGGTCAAACTCCGAGTTTCTGGCTTATGACAACAAAAGGCAATTTCTCTTTCGAACCTAGTGCACATCAGTGGTTTGGTGGTAGCTCTCCTCCTCTCCAAGGCCAGCCTGGTGGACCAAGATGCTTTGGAACATTGCCATTGCAGAAGGAAAAGAGCCAAACATGCATGGGTTCTTAAAGCCTCTACTTAGAAGTGCAGCATTGCACTTTCACTCACGTTTCATTGGCCAAAACAAGTCACATGTTCCTGCAACCCAGCAGTGAAATATAATCTTACTATGTGCCTGGAAGAAAAGAGACAACCTAATATTTTGAACCGTATTAATGACTGCTTTCTGTTGCTACAGCTTAACCATTGTTACAAGCTAATTAAATTACCTTTGGGGAAATAGTATGCCAGTATCAAGAATTCTATAAAATTGAATTTAATTGATTGTTTCCACCACTTGACTTACCACAAAGCTTGTCTTTATCCAGTTTTCATTCTATCTATTCCTGGCTTGACTAATACGTTCCAAATATGCTTCAACATTTGTTTTGCACTAAAATATATATATTTAAACTGAGGAAACTCCCCATCATTACCTAATTACTGCTATATATCGCCTCCACCTTCACTGGGACCAGGCTAGTCCCAGACTTTCAATATTAGCACTTACTCTCCACATGAGTGCTGTGTTCTCACAGTTCTGATCCTCCTTCCCACCTCACTCAGAATGTATTAACCAGATATGATGACTTTGTTAATGTAAATGCATTAAAAAACTGGCCAGGTGTAGCATAGGAATGCTGGGGACTTCAGTGTGTGCCCCATCCAAGGGAGACACCTGCCGCTCAGCCATATAGAGACACAGGTCAGGTACCTCCTCATCTTCTTGTTCTTCAAAAGAAACTAGAAATCTAGACGTTTGTTTGAGCTTCCAACTTTTAAATGTCAGCAACTAATTTTTATTTTGATGGATGTACAATACAAACTGTGCTTATAGACCAAGTTTACTTCATGAGCCACTGGTTTTTAACTTCGGAGAAAAACACAGCAAGTGAAACATTTCTTAATTTCTGAAATGGGTGAACAATGAGAAAGATTCTACGATTGTTTCCTCGTTGGCAGAGAAGAGATTCTGCCATTTTTCTCATTTCTTTCCAATAGAGAAGAGGGAAAATGAAGTGGATGAGTGAGCAAAAGCAATTGTAAATGAAACTGATGAGTAAAAAATTTTAGAACCCCTATTTTAGGAAAGGATTGACCTGGTAGACCAACATGAAGTACAAAATTCTTTGACTATACAGCATTGAGTAATAATTTCTAATGCACTGCCTCATTAGCCTTAATTCTCTTTTGAGATGTAGAATCTTAGGAATCACAAGGCAAGTCTTTAACCTTTGATTAAAAAGGTTATTAATCCCTTAAGTAAAAAATACTGGCATAACACAGTGAAACAACACTTTATGATCAAGCACCCTTTTATTAATGTTCTGCCTAGATTCTATGTTTTGAAAGACTCTGCTAAACTCTTACTTATTGACATTTAATTTCAATTTTAATAAATCAACTGCCTACAAGTGAGTTTACAGTAGTGGTATTAGAAGCAACATTGTAAAAATTAAAGAGGTTTTGTCTCATCTAACCTTATGGTGATATTGTAGTTAGCTAAGTGGATATAGATTCAGAAACGCTGGTTTAACGTTAACATGTTTGTTATCTTTAAAATGTGTTTCAAATATTCAAATGTGTTCTTGTTTTGGCTTCCCATTCTTTTGGAAATATGCAGCATATTCACACTAGCCTTATCTATGTTAATCCAAGCATCTAAACGAAAGATTGAAAATTCAAGTAATTTTATGGCATTCTTCTTGGGTAGGCAGAATATCCGTAAACGTAAAACATTTCTTATTGTCTTATATATGTCTCCAGCAATCAGTGTAGGCAATATCAGGCATTTAAAACAGGGAAGACCTGTCACACAGCTCAAGAGCTTTAGTCCTCAGGCGAGATCTCTAGTCACCATGAATGCAGTTGGAAACATTTGGATGAATTGAGGAATTAAGCCTACTAATTGAATAAGGTTGATTATTTTATTTACTTTTAGTTTTTAGATGGAGGGTACTTTGAGGCAGGTAAGACTGAAGTTGACCTATTAAAAACAAAAACATTAAAATACAGAAATAGTAGAATCATTAATAAAAAACCTAGAATCCTAGAATTATAAGGAGCTATACAACCATTGTATCAACCAGGCTGGATGCTTTTGGTTGCAAGTAAGAGAAACCCAACTCAAAACTGGCTTAAGGACAAAAGAGAATTCATTGGCTCATGTATTTGAGAAGATCCAGGATGAATTGCAACTGCAGGTATGACAGGGCTCAGGTGCTCACACAGTATAATCAGGACTCTGTCTCACTGTCTTCCTGTCTTACCTGCACCTTTGGCCATGTTGGCTTCTTTTCCAAAAGGCTCTCCTCTCCTGCTAGTAGGGTGACCACTGGAGCCACGTACTCACCTCACCCTCTTTTCCAATGTATCTCAAGAGTTCCTGAATAGAATCAAATAAGCTTGCTTTGGTCAGTGTCCTTCTCTGGACCAGTCACACTCAAGGAGGATCTGATCCACTGATCAGGCAGACGTGAGTCATGTGCTTGTCCTAAGAGCCACATGGGAAAGCCTGCCTCAAGCCATGTGGACTGAGAATGGGACAGGGGTTTTCCCAAAGAAATCAAGCTGCTATCACCAGAAGAAGACGGAATGGACGCTGCGCAGACGCTGATGCCAAATTCCCACCGTAATCACAGAACCCATCTTCCATGCCAGGGCAGGGATCCCCACAATGGCTGGGCCCACATCCTTCCCTGGTTACTAATAATGATGGAGACCTTACTAATTGTTAGAAGATTATGTCCTTGCAATTTCCACTCGTTTTTGGTTTGACTTTATGGAATTTTACAGACAAATTATTCTCCACCACCTCTCACTTCCCTTTCCATACTGGGAGGCTACCCTATGTTTTCTTTTAATTCTTTTCTAAGCCCAAATGTCCCCCTTGTATCTGATTTCTTCAGACAGCATTGTTTGGCATCCTCTCACTGTTTTGGTCATTTCCAAGCAGTTTTAATAAGGGAAAAAAGTAGCTTTATTTATCTCCACAGAAAAGGTTGATGATTATTACTGTTATACTAAAGAGAAAAAATGATCTTCAGTGAGTTTGGATTAAGGCAAGCAAGTGAATGATATATCATAGAAAGACCACTCCCTGCCAGTGTTTATTTTTAAAATTTAATGTGGTGCTTAGACAAGAAAGTTTAGTTGTCTGGAAAACCCACTGAGACAAAATATTTTAGTTTTCACCGAAGCCAAATAAATGAGTAAACTGTTACTCTTGTTAATGTTGTGTAAATAAAGGCTTCTTATTCTTATGCTTAATAATTTCCCTCCATGCTTTTAAACATTAGACTAATACATTATGTCAAGCATATGGATAGTAAGCACATATAGGTATGCCACTGAATTTTTCCAAAAAGAATCTCAGACCTACAGCCTGCATGTCGCAGGCATGGGTTTAGAACAGCAGCATGACTCTGTT